GATGCATTCTTTATCCCACTGTTTTGCTATTTTCTGACACTACCATCAGAAATTGAGACTAATCAGACCAGGCAACATTATTCAACCTGTTGTCCAGTTGTGGTGAGCCTCTGCAAACTGTAGCTTCAGGTTCCTGTTGTTAGCTGACAGGAACACTAGGACCAGCCCATCAAGCACCAATATTTGAGCCACAACCAAAGTCACCTTCTTAAGTCACCTATTTCTCCGATTCTGATGCTCAGTTTGAACTTCAGCAGCTTGTGTTGACTATGTGTACAAGCCTAAAGGCATTTGGCCGGTGCTACGCAATTGGATGATTAGATACATTAACAAGCAGTTGGACGGGTGTGCCTAATAAAATGGCCGACTCTTGTTAGTCTCTCAGTGTGGTCGATACACCCAATTGGAATACATTCACTCATCCATCTGACATGTCAATCAGCCTATTGATCTATTCTTAAAACTGGGCACATTTGCCGACCACTCCTAATGTCAAGAGAAAGAGCTTTATTGATTGGATGATTAGACCTGGTGTAGCGAGAGGAGTCTTATCACATTAAAGTGCCCTGTCAGCAAAAATGGTTTTAGTATGTATAAGTGTTCTCTACTGCAAATATGTGAATATCAGCCTTTATTTACCTTCCTTCACAATCAATTAAATACTGTATGAAGCCTTTATGACTTAAAATCTGTCTTCCTTTGCTGTGAATGATCTGCACCTGTGCATAAACACTACATGTATGGAGTGATTGTTGGCTATCCACTGTTTTTTTTTCATCCCTGTTGCAATGTTGTGATCTGTATATTAATGCTGTAAAACATTTATTCGGTAAATAAAGTACAATTCATTTTGAGTGAAGAAAAACAGTGTTATTCATAGACACAGAGATTGCCAGGAGCAAAAAGTCAAAGGAGGGGGGGTTCAAGGAAAAAGGCAATATGACAGAGATGAGAAGCTAACCAGAGTAAATCTGCTGGCTGTTCTTCTGTAGCTAGAAAACCCATTGACCTGAGTTTGAAATCAAAACAACACACACACGCATGCATGCATGCACATATTTGTCATAAACAAATTACTGACAAACATGAGCACACATACACCCAGAATGCATATGTAACTAGTGCACACATAAATAGCATTTACTCACACAACCCCAAAGGTGCCATATTTAAATCCTTGCCAACACACGCGAAGCTACTCACAAAACAGGAAAAAGCTTTACCCTCGCAGTGACGCATGGAAGCGTGTGTTTGTGCTAAGATATGTCTTACCAGCAAACACCAGTGTGCTGAGTTGTATGAGCATCTCTTACAGAATGTGTGTGCATGACTGCATGTGCAAGCATGAGCGTGTGCACCCATGTGTACACACAGTTCCGCTCTGTCACTGTGTGTGCGTATTTGCGTCTGTGTGTGAGAGAGACATTTTTCTGTTCAGGGATTACCATGTTGCTATGGTGATTAGTTAGAGTGAGGTAGTGCTGTCCCTACAGGGAATGATGAGAGGGAGGAGAGAGGAAGAGGGAGGAGAGACAGGCTGCAATATATATAAGAAAGCTATGAATAATTGTAGCCATAGTAGCATCAAAGGTCCCCCACAGAACAGACTGCCTGGTTTGTGAATGGAAAGCTGCAACATGTAACGTCGCAGAAGTTAAAAACTAATTAACTCCATTTACTGCTAGCTCATAAATAAAATTTATTGATTGTGTGACGCCTCCTTAACTGGCCAAAGTCTGTGGTCTGGTCTAAAACAAAACATCTAGCACTCGCTGATACTTCAGCAACTCAGATGCTCAGTTTTGCACAGGCTTTATTTAACCTAGACATTCCGGTTCAAGGGCTGTCCCTAATCTTGGCTATCCTGCTACCCAGTGTGTCACAAATGGCAATGTTACACAACAGACAGCCCTAACTATTTTGCCCTTCCTGCCATCCATGTGATCTGTCGTGGTTAGTCCTGTATGTCCTCTTAATTAAATCACAGAGCGGGTCAAAATATACAAGAGGCCTGGGGTGCTGGATGCAGGATTCTGGGGAGTCTGTTTTGGGGAAAGTTGTTTCTGGTATTCATCCAGCTTAACATCTTAGATGCTTGTTTGCCTTTTGTTGGCCTTTAATATCATTGGTACCCAGTGAAAAGCATATGTGCATCTGTGATAATAGGCATGTTTTATCGTGCACTGCTCAGTTTAAGATCTTTGCTGTTTGCATATAAGATGTCTTCTTTAGCAGTGGTGGAAATTAAATGTGCAAAATAAACAGGTATGTGATTATTTTACAGTGCAGTCTTTATTCTGGACACCCAAGATTTTCTCTGAGTGAAGGTCTTGAGCCACACCTCTGTATATTTGGCTAAAAAATGGGAAATATGTGGAGTGATTTATTGAAACATGTGCAAACACAGTATATTAGGAGTATATAAAGTTTGGGATCATTCTCATGCTAGAAAATGACACTGTTGCCCATCAAATGCTTTCTAGATAGTAGTGCAAAGTGGATCAAAACCTTATGGTACTTTTTTACCTTCATGATTTCATACATTTTTACAAGATCTCCAACACCACTGGCTGAAATGCAGGTCCAAACCATGACAGAGCCTCCGCCGTGTATTACAGATTGCTGTAGTTGTACCTGTTGTACCTCTCTGCTGACCTCCTCCGTAGATACTGATGACTTGAACCAAATATTTCCAATTTATGATTCATCACTTCCATAAGCATTGTGGTGCCGTGGTTAGCACTGTTGCCTCAGAGCATTTCTGTGTGGAGTTTGCATATATGTAACTTAACCCCACAGCCCACAGGGGTACCCCTCCTCTAGTATCCTCTTAAGTATTGTGCTATTCATAATTTCTAAATTATACAGAATTTAATTCCTCTCGTGGCTAATGACAGAATTATCTTGTGTTTGTAGTGATAATAATACATTTCCCAAATCCTCCCGGAAAAAATAAATATCAACTCAAATAGTATCTATCCATCATCTACCCATTGCTCTTACCTACTTTTCTAGTTTGGGGTAGCAAGGGGCTCAAACACATCTCAGCTGTCACAGGGAAAGAAGCAGGGCACACTTTGGACTGGTTGCCAGTCCATCACACAGCCAACACAAAGAGAGGCAGATAACCATTCATGCTCACATTCACACCAATTAGCCTAACAAGCATGCCTTCGGACTGTGGGAGGAAGCCAGGGTACCAGGGGAGAACCCACAGGCACAGGGAGAACATTCAAACTCAAACAGAAGGGCCACAGCTGGCCGGTGGTTTCTATAACCATGAACCCTCTAATTTACTACAGAATATTGTAAGCAAAAAAAGATTTTGAGTGAATTAACCATATTTATTTCTACTTGTTAAATTTCTCAGTGTGAAAGAAAATGACAAGAACCGGCTTATGTCAATGACAAGACCTGATACATAAATTTAGAAAGTAAATTAAATGCAGGAGGAGATTTTTGGTTTATAAAACTCAGACACTTAGTGAGATACAACAGTTTAGTAAGAGTACAATAAACTTATAGCAAAGAAAAATAATATTAATTAGAAATACTATAGGTTTTTATAAACGCAGTCACATTTCCCCACTGTAATTTCTTAGACTTTGTTGAGTCTTGTTCCGGTAATCACTGTGTGATTCATAGTTCTGATTTGTGTTTCCCAGACATGACAGAAGCACAGGAAGTAACTGCAGCCACTAGAAGACGGAATGACAGCAGGAGAGGAAGGGACAGAGAAAAGAAGCGAGAGAGAGGGAGCGTGAGGTGGTGTTAGGGGAAGACAAGCACTCGTGGGGGTCCCAGCTTTTAAATAATTCAGAGAGAGACTCACAGCACTCAGTAAGGGGAGGAGCACTGTCAGGTCAGCTCATTTCGCTGCAGAGCATAGGTGGGGGGGGGACGGAGACAACTGTACAGCAGAGGGAGGGAGGAAGAGTGTATAAAGATAGCATGAGAGAGAAAGACATGCAGAGGACTGTGGAAGAGTTTGCTATTGTGTGCATTTATGCATGAGTGTGTGTTTTGTGCACGCGTGTTCACCTGTGTGTATGTGTGCTTCAGTGACGAAAATAGACAAAACGAAGGAGAAACAGGTCGCTTCCTCCTGGAGCTTTCTGGTTTCTCTGAGTCACTATGGCAACCGCCTCCTCCCTCCAACCCATACTTCTGTTTACTTGGCTTTTTTGTTCTCCCACGCACTTTTGACTTCCTTCCTATACCCCTCCTATTTTTTTTTTATTATTTGCTGGAGTCCCATTGCCCTTCATCGCCCCATTCAGTTATCATCAGATTGTGAGTCTCAGCTCTTTCTCAATACCTGGACACATTTGTTTCTTAACTTCCATTTCCAACTTCATTCTGTGCAGCTCAAACATGTATCAGAGGTCACTTTAGTGGCCTAAAGGGTAGAGGAGAAGGACACACAGAAGCTTCAACTTTCAGACTACAGACCATCCTGGGGAGCCTGTGTGAGGATAGGGATAGATGTGGGGTGTGGCAGATACCAGAGCATCAAATTAACACACACACACACACACACACACACACACACACACACACACACACACACACACACACACACACACACACACACACACCAGCCAGATTTCTTATGATTTACATTTACAGTTAATATTTTTTAATATAAGCAAAGCCAATGTAATCACATTTATAGCTTATGTTTAATTATCACAGCTACCACCTCCACAAATATTTGACCTGGAACTTTAACTAAACATAAAAATCCCATTAAGTTTGACAAGGTTACTATAAAGTCAGACTGAGCAGCACTCACACCCTAGGAGTGCTTATTATTACATTATGGTGATGTGTGACTTTGTGCGGGGAACACACTGGCATCTCTAACTGAGATACGGAGTCTCAGAGGTATGCCACATCCTCTCCTCCCGTCTCCCCCACCCTGCTCCTCTGTGCGCCCCCCCCCCCCCCCCCCCCCCCCCCTCACCCGCCCCCGCCTTTCCAGCGCGTCGCATCGCTGAGCAACGTTCAGCACGGACAGCCAACACAACTCAACCGAGCGCAGAGCTTACCTGGCTCCGCCGAGATATTTATATTTTCCCCTGAAAAGGAAGGAGTGTGGACCGCCGGAAAGCCCTGACGTCACCATGACAGGTAGACAGTAAAGAAAGGTTTGAGTCGTGAGGAGGAGAGGGAGTTAACACTGCGGGCGTGCTTGAGGTGGCCTCTCCATCCCGGTGAACACCTTTCCGGGCTCGGAGCGCGCTCGGACGCACGTTTGACGATGGACGGCTGGCCGCCGCTGCTGCTGCTGGCTCTCCTCGCCATTGCGGGAGGTGAGTAGCCTACCTTGTCCACATAATGGCTCCATCGAAGCTCTTGTGCGTCACCCTCATAGGGCAATAAAACACCGCGCGTCTGTGCATTAAGGGAATCCGAAAAGGTTTCTTCCAAGTAATGAAGAAGTGAATGCAATAAAAAAAGGACTGGTTAGACGCTAGGGAGAGGCAGAGGTGGAGAAAGCGACTCTTTCACTGCTGTGTCACCATCTTTCTTTAAAACAGCAGCGAGCGCGACGGAATGATGTAGTGGAGAAATACCCACTCCATAGAGCACAATGAAAATACATTAGCAAGTGTAAAGGGGGAAAACACTTGCATCGTAAGCATATAAAATACAAGATATATTTAACCTGAGATTCTGTTGGGGTTAATATAATGCGTTTAGGGACGTGTGTGATGTTCTTCTATGGAATTACTGCTATTTCAGTGTTGAGTGTGCGGGAGTTAGTCACATTTTGGTAGATCAGATGAAAATGATACGTATTAAAAGACTTAAATCAAACTTATAATCTTTTCTACTGAAAATAAAACATGTGATAAACATACATGAGAAATTTACCAGCCTACTGCAACAGCTAAACCACTGTGGCATCAGTTAGCATATTCCTTCTAATTAATTGAGAGAGAAATAAATTATCTTATCACTCACTCGCCTCTCTCTCCTTCTCTCTCATTAACACTGAGGTCTTGCATTGAGTGGGAAGGTTAATAAGAGGCATGTTGGGCTAAAACAACTTCTTCTTCCTGTCATCAAAGGGCAAATGATGTGTCATCAGGGTGCACAGGGAAAGCCTTCTGTTTTTGCACAACAGCTTAGATGGATAAACTTATTGTTATGGGGCGCATGCATTGGGTGGTTATCTTATTTATGGCTCTCGCAGCACATTTAAAGTAAATACTGTAAGCTCTTAGGTTGTTTGGACATATTTTACCTCTGTAAGTTGGCTTTATTTTGGTGTCGCTCCAACACATCCGCTCAGTGGCTGAATTATGACTGCCTTAAGATTTTGTAACCTATCTACAGCAGAGGATAGAGCAGAGGCCAGCTCAGCAGCTCAGAGCAAAAGACTGCCTGTGCAGCAACACACACAGCACACACCTCTGTCCACTCGCGCGCATGCACACGCTTGGCCATCTGCCTTGCACTGACTAACCGTTCATCATCACCAAGGGCGAAAACATGCTGCTTTGACTCCTCTTTTACACCCTCCCCCCAAAAAAGACAGCTTTACACCCATAGTTCATCACACTGCATCCAGAGGAAATGACGAAGACAGATAGTACGAGATAAAGTGCTTCAACTAACATTAACCTGCCACTTATCACATCAAGCACCGGTTGCAGACGTTCTCACCGCACAGCTTTGGTAAAAATAGCAGCTGTATACTAGTTAAAGCATCCGTTTAAGATTTATATGGAAACAACATTTAATGCTCGATTTTGTTAGCAAAAATACAAAATCTAAAGTCTTTAGAGACATACAATAAAATGAAGATAACTAAAGAACATGAAAATAATCAAAAAATATCAGGAGTAACATTCATTTAATAACAGACTTTGTTTTACAGTGAAAATAATGAGTTCCAGTGAAAATCTAATAAGCTAAATGCCAATAAAAGCCTGAATAGAGCTAATTGTTAAAATGTCAAATGTCAAAGGACACGCTTTTTTGTATGAAGCTGGTGTAAATTTGCACAATATTCAATTCTTGCCCTATATTCGGTTCAAACAGAGGTGTTTGCACTAAAAATGCCAACATGAGATATCACTTTAAGGAGCCTCATAAGCTGTGGAGTACTAATGAGTCATCTTCCCTTAAGGGAGAAAATCTGATTAGCATCATCCTCAGAGACTATAAACTCTGTCCACACACAAGCACATACAAACACATGTTTGAAGAAAAATGCACACTGGGCACATATAAACACACACACACACACACACCTGGAGCTTATAAGGCGTTTAAGAAGTTTCCTACAAGCGAGCAAGCAAAAACACACAAATGTTAAATACTTAGGAAACACAACCTTTGCCTAGTTTGAGGCTTACGTGTTGATTTCGGTGTTCTTATTTAGTCATGTTTGTCCTTTATTGTAATGTTCACGTCATATAAGAGGCGAAGAAGGCAAGAGACATGTGAGAGAATCCATGCATTTCCCACAACAAAAATAGCTGGCATAAAAAAAAGGTGGTGATCGAATGAAGAGGAGAAAAGTCATAGGTTTACACCTCCAGAGCCACGGCATCATTTACTTACATAAGCATCCACACACACACACACACACACAAACACACACACACGGAGGAGTCTTGTATTGAGTGGCTGTGCAAGGACGCTCAAGGACATTTCACCACCTGTCTAAGAGGCTGCCGTGAGGATTTGGCCATCTCGCTGTGTGAGGAGGATGTCTCTTGTCATTTCCCCAACAGGCCATGCATAATAAAAAGAGTCTGTGGGGCTGAGCTGACCTAATGCAGGGGTTACTGGATATGGAGCAGAGTCTGCGACACTCATCAGCCAGAGATGTCTCTGCATCTTAAAAGATATTTTAATAAGTGCATGCATACACTGGAACGGTAGTCCTCTGCTATGTGTGAATGCACATCAACAAATCATCTCTGTGCTAGCGCTACAGTCTAGAAAGTTCTGCTCCTTTACTTTAGTCTGTCATCACTTTTTGGGTTTTTTGTGGTGCACCGATTTTCCTCATCTGATCTTTGCAGAATCTCATTGTTCACATGACAGCAGCCCTGCTATCGTCTCGCTCAACCTCGCTTTCTCTTTCCGCGCTTTATCTCGCTTGCTTATTTTCTCTGTCTCTATCTCGTTGGACCGACTCCCAATACACAGCAGCAACAGGATCAGATCAGCGGGTAGGGGCAGCATCTGTGATTAAAAAATGTGCAGCGGATTCACCGCACGGGCCTGCACTCGCATGTGAGAGTGTGCGTGATTCCATGTGTAAAACCCTGTGCTCTCATGTGTGATTTGTGCAAGATTGTGTGTGTGTGTTTATGTGAATGAATGTGCAGCAGTAGTAGCAAGAGCAGCAGCAGCACACAGCAGTGTGGCCCGGGAGATTAAAGGGAAGCAAAGGGAGAGCACAGAGGTTTAATAGAAACTTAAGCAGCAGAGAAGAAGAGGCAGATAAGAGACGTTTGGAAAGTTAAGAGTTTTAAATCTGACCTTGTCTAAGAATATTTAAAAAAATAAAGGTGGACTTAAGTCGAGGCAGGTGTGTGCTTACCTTGCACTGATACAGCTTTTTGTAGAAGTGCATTCAAGATGACGCACACCTTTCAATAAAATCAAGTATAAGAGACGAAAAAGACTTTCTAACTTCAACAAAATGCGACATTAAGAGTTATGTGGAATCATTTTTGCAGTCAGTCCTCTTGTTGTTATCTATTCATGGGCACATTTTTGCTGCAGGCGCTGACCTGGTGCAAGCGTGGCCTCGCGATTTATGAGTATCTAAACGACAGTGCAAATAATAGCTGCGACGAGAGGCATAATGCATTTCAAGTGATGCATTTTATTGCAGCCCCTGAAATAGGCACCGCTGTTAGAAGGCCATATCCTGTCATCCAGCAGCTGAGCTCCATGCGTTTTAATAAACAAATGAAAGCTATTACTGCTTATTTACAGTATGATTTCTGGATGAGTTAAACTGCAGCCTCTGACGGCGATGCTTTGCAGCCTTCATTATTCTAAACTATTTTAGCATATTCTCCTCAAATTTCCCTTGATGTGACTTCAAAATGAATGAAACATTTTCCACAGCAGCAATATATTCTGTTTTGTCCCAGTGATCCACTGAGCTAATATCACTCATGCACCTATATATTAGAAAAATTCAAACCTAAGATGTCATTTTAATAGCTCTAGCATATAGCTAGAATATTTATGGCATTTGTAGCAACAACAGTCTATCTATAAATCAAAATATGGGCGTATATCTACGTATCCATGATACATGGACACATTTTTTTTAAAATTTGTCAACAAATTAAATAGTTGTGTTGATCTGTGCATGGTTTTCTCTTAATATTTATACAGGTTCCAACTAATTTGTTTAAAAATTAATGTTTAAAAATGAACTCAGATTTTAAAAAAATGGTTCTTGGGTAAATAATTGAATTTATGTCAGATTATCATTTTGGCTTCCAGTGATTATAACAACAAAATAAATGAAAGAAAACAGCTGTTATTGTGTTCCTGTTTTTGTTTTGTGACATGCACTCTCCTCTTTATTGGGCACACCTGTTCAGCTGCTTGTTATAGCTCGCATGGAGACGACCTGCTGAAGTTCAAACTGAGCATCAGAGTGAGGAAGAAAGGTGATTTGGCATGGGTGTTGGTGTCAGACAGGCTTGTCTCAGTGCTTCAGAAACAACAACAATCTGCTGGGATTTTCCCACATAACTATCTCTAGACTTTACAGAGGAAGTTCTGTAAAGAAAATATACCATGAGCTGCAGTTTTCTGCGTGAAAATGTCTTCTTGATGTCAGAGAATGACCAGACTGGTTTGAACTGATGGGAAGGCAACAGTAACTCAAATAAATACTTTTTGATTAAATTCAATTCAGTTTTATTATATATAGTGCCTCAAGCCACTTTATATTCTAATGTAAAGACCCTTAGAGTCAGCTAAAGACAAAAATCAGGTGTGATGCGTCTCAGTTTCTGCTGCAACGCTCAGATGTTCAGATGTTAAGGTCACAAACAATATGAAGACGTGTTGTTTACACCAAATCCCGCCGTGTAGTAATGGCTCGTTATAGTGGTGCATTGTTGCCCCTCCCTAAAATCCAAACACGATCGCAGCCAAGTCCTGGCAGGTTTCATTTAGCTCAAGCCAGGATCCTGCAAAGAAAGGTTTTGGTCAAATTAAATCGTCTCTAGAAACAATCTGATTTCAAGACGTCACGCCGTGAAGCAACAGCAAATACTGTGCATGGTTTGTCACTTGTTTTAAAACAGGTCTTTATTCATTACTGCATGTTTACAAAGTCAGTCACTGATCTAACCATATAACTAAGATCTAAACGCTGGTCAAAAATAAATCATGATTATGATCTTTGCCATATCCGTGGATCTATTAAATAAAAGGTTGAAAAAAAAATTCCTTTAAAAAAAGCTGTTTTTTTTTTAATTAATAACATGTGATGATCAAAGATTAAATGCATCAACTAATGTTTCAGCTCTAATAATAGAACAACATGCTGGAGTGATTTGTCAGTGCTTTCTGTAAAAAAATGAAAACCTCTGTGGTTATTAAAACACAACAAACTCGACTGACTTTACATCTTTGTGCGCAGCGTGGAAAGACAATAAAGCTTCAGGCTGCAGTTAGCCCACAGTGGAATGCCTCTGTTTTTGTGCTCTGATATTGCAACTAGATGGAGGATCAATATTAATATCTCAGTTCTATGGCCACTACAGAGCCAATTGGGTGTTGCCAGTACATCAGTGGATCTCTCCATTATTGACTTAAGAATATTTCAGCATAAAAGGTTTCAGCTGCAGCCAAAAAGCCTCTTTAGCCGTCGACAGAAAGGAGGGCAGAAAATGACCCCAGTTTCCCTCCAACCTTTTCTCATTTGAGCGAGCTGTATAAATAGAGATCATCACTGTAATAGTCTTAGTGGGATAATTCAATTTAGATCTCGCCTCGCCTTCATTTTCTCCACGTTTGTCTTTACAGCGTGTGCTCTAGTCTCTAAGCAGCATTAGAAATTATAACCAGATGCTGTCAAAAGTAAAGATTTTATAAACAAGTTGTTGGGGACACAAAAGGTCCATCAGCACGCTAAGATTAATGGCTATTTTTAAGGACGAACGGATTGAAGGGGCAGACATAGCTATAAAGCAATCTGACCTAATGGCTACCATCTTGTCTCTTCCGGTCCTCCTGTCACGGAAGCGTGTGCGTGTTTGTGTGTTTGCATGTGCACGGTGATGTGTAACTTCCCTAGCTTACGGGTCTAATGGGGAGCCCTGCTGAAATATTCATAATGTCACATTAAGTTTGCAATATCTGCTCTGGAAAACAAATATAAAGCCACCTGAACTACCAACAACATTAGAGCCGTTCAGTTCAGCCTTTAGCATGTGGCGACAGAGGCACATCAGTCTGTGGTTAGTAGCATTATTTGAGTGTTGAAGATGAGCGGCCGAGTTAATGTGTTTGCACACTGAGCAGGCTCGAGTGTGTGCGTAGTTTTACATAAAAAAAAAACGAGATAAGAAAAAATGAATCTTTCTGCCTGATTAGTTGCAGTGCTGTAAAATATTGGTGTATCCTGACCACATGCTCATTTTTGCTTAGTTATTTTAAGCTATTTCTGTAGTAAATGCTCTAGTTCACGAAGAAGTGGTAAAACATGGCGTGCTGAAAGTGTTGTGGTATCTATCTATCTAAATGAAGTACATGAGGCAAAAACAGAGTTTGTACAAATCAATATTTGATATGAATACCTTTATTCTTAAACACAGCCTGAACTCTCTTAGCCAATCTTCAGGAAAAGTTCTCCGGGCTTCTTGAAAGACCTTCAAAGCTCCTCTGCACATAGTGATGATCATTTTAGGTCAGTGTTAAGTGGCTTAATAAATGTAAAAAAACATCTTCTAAAAATGGTCAGGTATAAGGACTGGACTTAAATGAATGACAAAGCAGCCGATGTTCAAAGAGAAACTTTGAAAGATCTTCAGTAAGCCTGGAGAACTTTTGCTCATGAGTGCTTTAAAAATTACAAGAAAGTCTGTCTCTACTGAAGCAAAATACAAAGAAATGAGGGACTTAAGACTTTAAGATAATTAATTACATTTTGTCTATTTTACTACATAGTACTTTTATAGTAAGCAGAAATCTTTCATATACACGTATGAGCATGGTTGAATGAACCGTGCTCTTCCTTTTTTTCCTCTGCCAGTCTGGCTTCCTGTCTCATCCGACAGTGTTATTGCCTTGTGCTTCCGGGAATAATATACATTACTCATATGGTTCTGACACAGACAGCAATGCTTATTTCCCTGATGAATGTGTGTCCACAAAATGGCACACATGCACGCATAGAAAAAAAAAGCCAGCTCTTGTGCACAAAAGTACAACACTCATGCTGACAGGACTTGTATTGATGATGCTGATTTAGCGAAGGAAAGGGCAATAAATGTACACTGGCTGTCAGCGACAGCGAGATGGAGATAACAAACAGGATGGGAGAAGAAACGGGCTGACTGGGATGATGAAAAAGATGGTAAAAGTGTTAAGGAAAATGTGATGACAGAGAAAGAGCAGAAGATTAAAAAATAGGGGATGTGGGAGCGAGGGATTGCATCGAGAGGTCACGGGGTATGAATAGAGTCCTTATTGATCCAGAGATAGAGGCTATCATTCCTGTTCAGTGAACACAGCAGCGCTACAGGGCAAAGAGGAAGGGGAGGGTGGAGAGCAGGGGATAAATAGAGGAGGACAGAGTGTCACAGAGGAGCCAGAAACATTCAGAAGAAGTTTGGTACGTCTTCTTTCCATTTCTGTGTTTTAATTTACCTTTTGAGCTCTCATGTTGCATTGCAAGCATCAAAATCAGACCAAATAAATATTGTTTTAAAGTTTTCTAAATACAGTTTTTGTGGTTTTTTATGTTATTTCTATTGGCAGTGACTTCCATTCATCCATAGCCCTGTATAAAACAGTTCTTTTATTTTCGCTGATTCTTGCTATGGGTAATAAACAGTGTCCTGTCTGGGAAAATGTTTATCTCTATCTGCGCTAAAGTACAATTTTTTAAAACAAAAAGACTGAAATCCTTTACGCTGTACCAACTGAACTCTAACAGTTGTTAATTAATTCAAATTTGATTTATTTTTGCGCAGATTCATGGAGAAATTGAGAGTCTAAGCTCTTTGTATACTTTTTAATATCATTGTGTTCATTAAAAAGAAATAATTTTACCTACATCAGCTTTCACGCGTTTGTTTTCCTGCAATGTTAACGGCCTTTAAAAGAGAGTATGACAACATCGGTACAGTTAGCAGCCTGTGTTTATCTTCAGGGGTGGAGCGTGAGGGTGAAAAGACGCAGCGCAGGGATGAGCAGATGCCAGAGAGACAGGGAGTGAAAAGCAGGAGGGAATGAGGAAGGAAGCAGGAGGTGCAGAACAGTTGTTTTTCTCAGTGCATCACTCTCTCAGTGAAAACCCCCCCCCGGAAAACCCTCCCCTCCTGTGTGTGGTGTTGTGACAGCTCTGCCTAAATTCAACCACTCACACAGATAAGACTACAGTCTGCTACAGATGGAGGGATGGGAGGGGGAAGAGACAGGGGAAGGGACGCGAGAGACTGAGTGAAAATAACCCAGAGCTACAAAAGAGTGGCAGTTGGGGAGAAGTGCAGCAGGGCAGAGGAGAATACATAGAGACAGAGCAGCGGGACGAAGTGTGTGATAGAGACAGGAAGGAGAGCGATAGAGACATACAGAGTGGTTGACTCATTCTCGTGATGTCAGATCTCGTAAGATCTATGCATTGAGGTGTGCTGACGTCCTCCAGCCGCCGGTGATGAGCAATGTCGCGGCTCTCAAAAGAAGCACTTACGGCACCACAGACTTCAAGCTCCAGTATGTTTGTATTGCAAATCCAATTTGATAAAACATCTTTTAAATAAGGCCAAGTGAGACACAGATGCCTGCAACTTTGGTGCTTCCTGATAGAGCCACACGATGATGATGATGATGATGATGATGATGATGCGCTTTCATTACAGGCGGCCTTGGGGCAGACACAGAGGAGCGGTTGGTGGAGCATCTCCTAAACCCAGCGCATTATAACAAACTGATCCGTCCTGCGACTAACGGCTCTGAGCTGGTTACTGTGCAGCTGATGGTGTCTTTGGCCCAACTCATTAGTGTTGTGAGTATGGACACGTCTGGGATTGAATCTGTGTGCATGATTTAATGTGATTTTTAGAATTTAATTTGGATAATAGAACAAACAACATAAACACAAATGGTGATTCATTTAAATTTCTGTTTTTCCTCCTGGTAACCTAAACGCCAGAATCTTGATTTAAAACTCAAATTAAACATAATCACAGACAAACCAGCAACACTGAGCAGTATTTGAATATTGTACTTGTACTTGTTACTCTCCACGACTGCAAACAAGCCTCAGACAAAGGGTAACGTTGCTTTTGTCTCGAGGCTGAAATTCTCTGCTCAGGTTTGTTTGTTTTTTTTATTTTTTTGTTGTAAATTTAACGGCTGCACCGCCGATGTTGCACATAAAGATGATTTATAGTGATGAGTTCTAGCCAGCATATATAAAAGCAGTTACAGGATTCCTTCTGTGGCGCGGGAGGAGCTCTCTAAAGAGAAATTAATCTTGAAGACATCATTAGGGTTATCATTGGCCTCAGCTTGAAAACAACATTTATTTCCCCCTATTACAAAACTGGGACATGGAGTTTGAAGGATGTTTTCTGAAGCTTGACCCTGTTTAAACATACTATAAATCAGGACATCTCATCCTCACTGAGTCTTTTACATACAAATAACAATGAGCCGCTTCTGAATAAATTCATGCAATAAAACTACAGCTTTTAATGTGAATGTGTTCCATTGCAGCATGAACGAGAGCAGGTGATGACCACCAATGTCTGGCTAACACAGGTGAGAATTTTGACTCCCCATCTGATCTAATCACTGCGTACCCAACATTATGCTACATGGAAAAAGAGAAGGCAGAAAGCTTAGTGAAATGCAGAGAAAACAATGAGTAAATATTTATTTTTAGGTGTGTTTTTTTCTTAGATTTCACAGTGTCGCAGCTAGGTCAGTGGACGTGAATCACAAACCGCGAGGGACTTGGACGGTAGTCATAAATGTGACTTAGATAAACACAAACACACACATTGAAGGTTCCTCTCTCTAAAATTTACTACTGTACGTGATGAATTTCATTGGATAATCAAGTTCCTGAAGTGTTATCACACCAATAGTACACGATTCACGGATGCAGTTACTGGGGTGGAAAGATGCATTTTTCTTTTCCGTGTTGTTGCTGTTTCTGGATAGCTGAGTATGACCCTGCCAGCAATCATGTAGAGCTTCAGTTCAGACAAAAGTCAACAGGACTGGTGAAGAGAGACATCAAAAAAGAGAGTCATGCTCGTCCTCAAACAAAATCCAGAAGAAGAAAAATAAGAGATGGGAATTTACCAGAGAGTGAGAAATGTACAGAAAGACATTTCTGAAGCTGAACTCATGTTTCTGCGCTAATGTTGTGATTTTTGATGTTCTGTAAAGTCATATGTGACCTCTTATAGCTGAGGTATATAGCTATTTGGGCTTAATACTTATAATAATTTATTCAACAACATGAACATATTCTAGATATTCAGACAAATGACCAAAGACTGGCTTAAGCTGAGATTCACAAACCTAACAACTTTGGAAAAAACCCCCAAAAAAAACAGCAAAGATGGGTTGTAAATAAATAATAAAGAAAATCCAAGGATTTAAACTCTTTGTTTCACTAAAAAATTGTAACTGTGATGAGCTGATAAGCAGCAGGACTGTAATCTATTTCTATAGCTCTAAGGATGCACATTCATTTCCCAAAAGAGTTTTAAATTTAGTTGTTTTGTTTTGTTTTTTAAGATCACAGGATATTTTTCTTTAGTCTTACTCTTCTTATCTTAAGTGAGCTCTTGTCCAGAGAAGCCATCTTTGTTTCTGGATCTTTTTTAAATATGTCTGCAGTGGAGTCAGTGCAGTGAATATTACATAATACTGTTTTTTGTCCTTGTCCCCTGAGTATAGAGATTTCCCTCAGATTCTCTGAATCTGTCATTGATTTGATCTGCTGTAGACGATGAATTCCACAAATTATTTCCAATTCTGCACAAAAATATTTTATATTGTAAAACTCTTTGGCCACATAGTCTTACTAGGAGTTGTGAACCCCTTCCCATCTTTCCTTCAGAAAGACTCAGCCACGCTAGGATGATTTTGTATACGCAATGAAATTCTTCTGTTTAGAAAACTGTATAATGTGGCCATTGTTGATGGTGTATATATTCAGAAGAAAAGGTCAAGCTTTGAATACCTGGTCAGGGCATGCAAGGCAGATAGCTAAAGCCATACGTCAGGTGTTGAAGGACAAGGACATATTGATGAGAAGTGAGCATGTGGACATGGAATATATGGGACAGCATACACTGAAAGACACAAACAAGTGGCTGGGATAGTGTGTAGGAACATCTGTTTCCCAAGTCCCGATGGGAGACACCACCAAAGGTGGGTAAAAAAACCAAAAAACCAACAGGCTAAGGTCCCGTGGGATTTCAAGTTCCAGACAGACAAGCAGCTGCTGGCTAACCAACTAGACGTAGTGCTGGTTGACAAGGAGCAGAAGACCACAGTTGTGATAGGTGCGGTGTTCCCACCGGACAGCAACATCAGAAAGAAGGAGCCAGAGAACAGAGAAGTGCCAAGGGCTGGAGGAACAACTGGAGCAGATGTGGAAGGTAAAGGCCAAAGTGGTCCCAGTTTTAATAGAAGGATTAGGAACTTCAAGCCCGAAACTGCAAGACTGGCTCCAACAAATTCCAGGCACAACAACAGAGGTCTCTGTCCAGAAGAGCGCAGACCTAGGAACAGCTAAATACTGCACACAACAACTCCCAGGTCTCCGGTGCTTAAGGAACACATGCATACCACACCGTCAGGGAGTGAGAGGGAGATTTATTTATACATATATATATATATATATATATATATATATATATATATATATATATATATAAAAACTTTTTCATATAAAGCAGTTCTAAGTACGGTTGTCACACACTGGCACATAGACAGACACACACATGAGCCAGATTAGGATTTATGACGTGTAACGGAGCATAGAATCACCATCAGTGCTCTATGGATTCTTTGCCATCAGAAAGTAGGAGTGCCAAGGACAGCTGTCGTGAGCCGAGACAAACTGTAATGACCACAATGCATCACAGTTACAGAGGACAGTCTAGCATGAGCAATACAGCTCCAACCTGGTTATACCACACACAGAACTGTGGTAACAGGTCACAGAGGCTTCAGTGTGGCAATGTCAAAGTCTGATCCACAACATGGAAAACAAGATAATGTTTGTCTTTTACACAAAGTTGCACAGAGGACTCAGATGTCTGCTGATGCATTCACATGCACCCACACACACATACCTGGGAACAGCTGCTGCATTATAATCATGCTGAGTGGTTTGCGGCCGGGTGTGTTTTAAAGACCATTCAGGGTCAGGACAGACATGAGTGTTACTCTGGCTAATGGTAGAAGTGTGATGAAGGTGCAGGTTGGGCAGATAGCATATAACGTACCTTAGGCTTATCTTTATTGCAACATGTCATGTTGACCAGTGACTGAGTGACGAACACAAAAAGACAAACAGACACACCTTCTCCTGTCTGCTTCTCTCAAGATGTCATTTCCTGCTGTGTGGTTGGCAGATGAGTGACTAAGCGTTGTGTTTTTATTGGCCTTTAGGAGTGGCAGGACTATCGTCTGACTTGGGTCCCCGAGGAGTTTGATGGAATGCTGAAGGTCAGGCTGCCCTCCAAACACATCTGGCTGCCTGACGTGGTGCTTTACAACAAGTGAGTCACTCTCTCGTCCACCTGTCCTCACTTTGTAAAGATACAAACTGATAGTGCATACACTGCACCATGAAAGTACAGAACAAGTCACCTGCACTGCATACATCAGCAAATGAAGTGATGAGTCGGTGCACACAGTTGTTCCACAAGAATGCAAACTTCTGTCGTCTTGTCTTTTCCACTTGTAAAATATATGAAGCTTATTTGATGTGCTCGCTGAGAGTCTAGATAATTACCATTGCCTCTCTTTTAATGTGGCTCTTCTATCTTGGACCAATGGAAGGATTTGAAATTACTTCCACACTGTCATACAAATATGCAGCCATCACTTTTAATTCTGCTATTGAGAACAGATTACCTTATGAAAAGTCTTCAGGGGTGCGCATGGTTGACTTAGCCTATTATGCACCTCCAGACCAAAACTTTTCTGCTGGGAATTTAATGACTTTCAGCCTTATTCCTGTCCCTACCGTCTGTGCATAGTTCCTATCCCATCAGCTGCATTCCAGAAACCATCCAGTACTCCTGTGCTGACATACTACATCATACATTTTTATGTGTCGAGTCATTTGTGGTTTGTGGTAACTAAATACAAATTTACTTAGGTCCCGAGGACCTTTAACAAGTTGGCAAGATGAGCGGTACGAATCACTCATGTGCAAATGAGTGTACTATCACATACATAGTACATAAATGATAACGTCCCAAATAAGCTTCACTGTAATGTATTACACAAAATGATTAACGTGTAAACTTCATCCGCATGTTTTGTTAATTAGAATTCTCCTGCATGTCTGAGAGAGAATGGGGATGCTGCGGACCACTGGTCTTAATGTAATGGAAACTGAGTGTCAGCATACAGTATGTAAATCAGCTCATCAGAGCACAGCGATCTGTCTGGCCTTCTCCTCTTTCCCTGCTTCAGGCCTTACTTGACTAAAGATTATAAGATCCCTGACCCAACTAACTCTGGAAAAGTGATCCCGTTAATCCCGTGTACCCCAGGTTGGGGTGTTATCCTCCATGACTCCGATGAGTCCAACTGTCAGTCCTTTAAACTGGAGGATTAACTCAGCTTATGCCACTACCACACCACTTTTTATATTATTATTTCATTTGGAGAAAAGATGAAGCGGGTCATAGTGCACTGAAAATGTGCAGCTATGTGTTCGTGCAGGTTCCTCTTTTGTATGTTAAAAATATTCTTGCTGCATGTATTTTTCTGCCATTATCGTAAGATGACATGAAATTCATACAGCTCACAGTAGCTTACATGTGCTGTTTAATCAAGCCCAGATTACCTTAAAAATGATGTCTTCTGCCTGGACTTCACATTCATTTGGTTCCTTATCCTTCCTCTGTGTGTTAATATAAGGAGTCTGTCACGCTGCTAACCAGAGAAACCTCAAAAAGTCACACCCATAACTTCAAGATTCGTTAATGTGTCGCTGAGGTCTAATGAAGCTGCTGCATAATAAGATAAAGCACTACCACATTACCCTATTCAAGAGGCCTGGAAGAAACATGGCTCCTCATGATACTCTTTTATTATTTAAATCATCACACCAGCATCTGGATTTATGTCTGACTCCTGTTTTTGTCTTTATCCTCTCTGACCTTGTCTCTTAGTGCTGATGGGGTGTACGAGGTGTCGTTCTACTCTAATGCAGTGGTGTCTTACGATGGCAGCATCTTCTGGTTGCCCCCGGCAATCTATAAATCAGCCTGTAAGATTGAGGTCAAGCACTTCCCCTTTGACCAGCAGAACTGCACGCTGCGCTTCCGCTCCTGGACCTACGACCGCACTGAAATCGATCTGGTGCTTCGCGCTGATGTAGCCAGCATGGATGACTTCACCCCCAGTGGAGAGTGGGACATCATCGCCCTGCCGGGCAGACGAAATGAAAACCCAGCTGACCCTACTTACGTGGACATCACATATGACTTCATCATTCGCAGGAAGCCTCTTTTTTATACTATCAACCTCATCATCCCGTGTGTGCTCATCACCTCGCTGGCGATCCTGGTCTTCTACCTGCCCTCTGACTGTGGCGAGAAGATGACACTCTGCATCTCAGTGCTGCTGGCTCTCACCGTGTTCCTGCTGCTAATCTCCAAGATCGTCCCACCAACTTCACTGGATGTTCCTCTGGTCGGAAAGTATCTGATGTTCACCATGGTTCTGGTCACTTTCTCTATCGTCACCAGTGTATGTGTCCTGAATGTGCACCATCGTTCTCCCACCACACACACCATGCCCCCTTGGGTTAAACTAGTGTTCCTCAACAAGCTTCCTGCCCTGCTCTTCATGCGCCAGCCGAGAAACAGCTGCGAGCGTCAGCGGCTGCGTCAAAGGAGGAGGGCGCAGGAGCAGAGCGAGGGTGGTCGAAGTGGAGAGGCAGGGGCCTTGATGGTGGGGCTCGGGCTGGGAACTGCTGGTGGGAATGGAGGGGGGACCTCCACAGTGTTTGGTAAGGAGGACAGTGACCCTTGTACGTGCTATGTGAACCGCGCGTCTGTTAAACAGTTTGGAGGGGATCTGGGAGGTGCAGGAGGGGGATCCATCGATGGTCTAAACAGAGTCAGAGAAGGTCGAGAAGGGAGCTCTGGAAACCTTCCAAGAGGGAAGCAAGCAGCTGCAGGTCCTGCTTTGACCCAGGCCCTGCTGGCTCAAGCCTGTCCAGGCTTTGAGGAAGCTGTGGAAGGAGTACGCTTCATCGCAAATCACATGAAGAGCGAGGATGATGATCAGAGTGTGAGTATTATCTGTTGCTTCATATCAGAGCCTGGAGCTGATAGTGTTGCACTAGATTTGTTTATGTTTTATAGCTGGTTAATAAACTTCACTATCATAGTAACTGCAAAAATAGCATTTGACAGCTGCTCAAAATAGATTTTTATGTTGACAACAGATTAAATAAATTAGGACCAGATTAGCTAACTGTCTGCATCAGTGCAAACGCCTCTTTTGGGACCAAAAATCTTCTCTTTGCTGCTGAAATGTGTGGACAATAGTTTTTGAGGAGCTCTTATTGTATATAAATTTATGGGAAAATTACTCAGAGTGGAAAATTGAGCTAAACATATTTCTGGTATTTCGGTATTTCAGTAATGCAAAATTCATAAAGGCTATGTTTGTGTTACAGGAAATATGTCTTTACTTTAAGATGTAATTTGCAATATTTTAGGGAATTTGGGCCACAGTGAAAACTGCAGAGGACACAAAAGCCTCTCAGCACTGTGCACACAGAGTTGTGCAACATAAAAAATAATGTGAATTAATGAATTTATTTTAAACTCTCTTTAGCATCGGCTCTATTATAGAATAAACAGACATGTCTGCCAAGCTATTCGTGGGACTCAGATTTCCCTCATATTAGAAAAATATCAGAATTTTACAAAATGCTGTTCAGGATTTTGAAGAAACATGTTTGTTGCCCACTAAACTATTTGATTCCACAGAGGGGAAAAAAGAATAAAAATTAGAGGGATTTTAAAAATAAAGATCTTAAAGAATAAACATAATAATGCCAATGACAACAATGTTTTGCCCAACATATGTACTTTACAGTAACATAACTGAGCAAAACACACCTGGCACCATATTTTAATTGTATATATGTATATATATATATATATATATATATAATATATATATATATATATATATATCAAAAATAAAATTTAAATATAACATAATGCAAATATAATAAGGTGGGTGCCACTGCTGGTAGATTTGTCTTTTCTTCAATGTCTGCCTTTAAGAAAAAAAACAATTCTGTTATACTTTTAAATTATTCATATTCTTATTAGCCCTAGCTGCTAGCTACCAACTGAGTTATTATTATTTCTTTAAATGATAACTTAACTCATGGCTAATGTAGCTATCCAATATTTGCTAGTAGTTAAAGGGTTAACATTCATGTGTTCACTGGCCAAGTTGACTTTTATAATAATTGTTTAACACTTAAGTGTTGTTGAAGCAGGAGCTTTACCAACTTCATGTTTTTCATAAAGTGTTGTTCAGATTTGTGAAAATCAATTCAGCTGCTAGTGAGGTGAGGGGCTGTATGCTAGCTGTGTAAAGTTGTGTGCCATCTGGAGGAGGCAAAGGCCGCCCTGATGGGATCAATACTTTTGCAAATGAGTATCTAATCCATCCAATCTCGTTTTTAATATCTGAGCCTATTTTTTTAACAACCTGATTGCCCACAGCTGCCGCTGAGTCAGTCTTTCCTTTGACTTTAATAAACACCTGTAGGCTTATATGTCACATAGAAAAAGCAAGAGCAGTGTGCATTTACACACATGACACAGTAACAATAACTTAAAATGTGCATCGGTCAGGACAAAAGAAAATGTTGTGTTTTCTTTGAGGAAGCTGTGGAAGGAGTCCGCTTCATCGCTAACAAACCTGTGCAAACCTGAAACCTGTCATACACAGGTTTCAGGTTTGCACACTGACCCATTTTGTAATAAAGCAGCTCTTCTCTGCATAAATCCTGCAGTCAACTTGAGCCTTGCTGTATAATGTTTGTAGATTATTCACTGACTAATCATTTCTACTCTGTTTTGAGCTGTGAATTTGCCCTCCTCCTCATAGACTGTCCTGGGCATTATTGATGTCAAAAAGCTTTTTCTTTGCTTATAAAACTGGAAAAATGTTGTTTTTAGATAGTTTAGACAGTTAGTTTTGATTACCTGATAACAGTCCACTCACATCTGTGCTGTTTTCTGTGATTGCAACACCACTAATTTATTCCTCTCAGTAAATCTGTCTTTTTTGTGTAATCACAGACTCAGAGATAGTTATTATCCCACTGTAGCTGCCCTGCTTTAAAAGACTGCGATTTTACTGTTTGTGCTGACCTTAGCACTTTAATCAGACACTTTCTTTGACTGATAGAGCCTTTTAGCAGTGAAAGAAATTTTTTTAACCTTATATTGTAAAATTATATTGTATTGTAAAATTGGTCATTGGGTTATATCTAGTATTTGCTAACTGTCTCCTTATGAAAAGAAACACAGCTCCAAATAAATGCTTTTGTGCTGCTTGTCTACTTTATTTGTTGAGCAGCAGCTTTTAACTTAGTGCTATTCCACTAGCTTAAAAAATGTAATCCTGTAAATTTAAACAGCAATTTTGGCAAAAACAAATGACATTAAAAAAGTGTATTTGATGTGGTGCTGCAGTTTACAGCTCTGACACCATGCATGCTAATATAGCCTGTGATAATGTGAGATGAGCACCAATAGTATCGGCTGATAATACATACCTCCATATTTATTACTCAGATTCAACTGTGTATTAACATAAAAAAATTATCATGTCTCCGTGCGTGTGAAATCCTGCCATAAACAATCTTCTTTTATGCGCATATGTTACCAGCCATAAAAAGTATCCAGAGCAGCACAGATCAGTGCCATATCATGTTATAGTCAAGACCGAGCTGTGCAACTCTGCTGTTTAGTACTGCCATTTAAAATGCAAGGGTTAGTACAAAAGGCCAGAAGCAAAGGAGACAGATCTGGTGATGCAATCGTAACCCTCTGAATATTCGACACAGACATGTAATTATAGCAGCAGCGGCAGCATGACGTGTGCATAGAGAAAGACTACAACTGGTAAAGAGCTGGAATAGAAGAAGCGAGTCAGCAGAGTGAGGGTGTTATTTTTTATGTCTTATCCTGACCGCATCTTATTGGAGCGTGCGTCTGACATGGGAATTAATAAACCGCAGTAATTCTGTCTATCACTGATATAGTTACCATCCCATCGCCTTTAAAATCCTCCCATTCCCAGCGCAGTGCATGGCTCATCATTCATTCCCCTCTCTCTTTAAGTTATCATCACAGGGGTCACAGTTTCAGAACACCCTCTGTTTCTCTCCGTCCTCCATCTCTCTCCAGTCTCTTACATCCTTCTCCTCCTCCTTGACTCGTGTCAGACCTCATCAGAGCTGTGTAGCTGAACGAGTCTCCATTCACATTAACACTTCACCTCCATTAACGTTGCGTCTAGTTAAAGGCAGACGGGTAGGTCAAATGATAATGAGCATGACTGGACTTGAGAGTGGGATTCTGCTCACCTTAATCTTTCTCTTCACCCTGTTCCACAACCACAGGTGAGCGAGGACTGGAAGTATGTTGCCATGGTGATCGACCGCCTCTTCCTGTGGATCTTTGTGTTTGTATGCGTGTTCGGCACGATGGGCATGTTCCTGCAGCCGCTCTTCCAGAACTACACAGCCAAGACCATCAACATGCCAGGTTGACCATTTTTCCCCAGCCACAATCACGCTGACAGACAGCTCCCCGACCAATCAGCACAGCAGGACATGGGCCGGAGGCGGGGGGTGGGTCTGGGTTTTAATGTGTCTATGGTACAGGAACCAGAACTGGAATAAACAACAATCACATCCATTACCTTTATAGTAACAGTTTTTGCAACAAACGATTTTTCTCCTATGAAGATAAAGAAAAACACCATCTTACTCTTACCTGCAGGTTTTTGGTTGTTGTTTTTTTTGTCCAGATGCTTAATGGTGTGACCTCTTTCTGGTGGAAAGGTCTCTCCCTGCTTCCCTCTTCAGCCAGCCAGGGAGTGAGGATTCTCCGAGTTATTCCTTGTTGAACCTTACGCCAGCTAGTTAACACTTTCCGCATTACACTGACTGCTTAAGTGACACGTGACATACCTGTCTTCAGCTACGACAGACGTTACTTATTCACTATGTTAATTGATGTCAGTATCAGAGAGGAAAGGGAAGTTTATATCAATATCAAGGTTCTTATACTCCCCCCCCCCAAAAAAAATCCACTCTGTCAGTAAACTGATTCAGTATATTTTATCATAGCATAGCTGCTTACCACAGTATAGCATTGAGTATATATTATTAAGATTTCTCTATGTTTATTAGATCATGCAAGGATATGACGCTAAAAGAGAGACTATGGTGTGTTGTATGATTGTATAGATATAACCAGAATGTGATATAAACTGTAATACACAGCCTGTGATGCGCACACTAACACAATATGTGTAAAAGCAACAGATTGTGAAGGAAAAATATATAGAAGGTAGTTGTACTTCGAAAAGAGCCAGGTTGCATTATTACATAAAAGTCAAAGGGATGAAGTAATAGATTATGCATGGACGGTTTTCTGCTCAGACTGTTGTGCACAGTAAGTAGAGAACAGCCGCAGCCTGCTGTGCCAGAGTGCACAGCAGCACTGAGACGAGTCTAGCTCCTGAGAAATTGAGGAAGCTGAGCCAAGAGTGTGGATATGGGCTCCTATTTGATGGGCGGTGGAACATGGTGGATTGATGGGAGGTGTATCATGGATATTAAGTCATGTCACAACTGTTCATTTTCTGTTATCAGAGCAGGACAAAGCCTCATTCGCTCGTCATTTTCTCCTCTCTCCTCTCCTCTCCTGAATATATAATTCTGCAGTGGATTTTGTTCGTGTATGTAATGTCCAGAACATATGTACACATGTACATCTGTGAGATGCAGTGTCCAGAGGAGCATAACACATGTATGTATCCCTCCCATCCTTCCACCCTTTCAATTAATCTCTGCTGTCCTCTCTCCAGTCCCGCTCTGTTTATCTGGTCTTCCACGGGCGCTCACTTCTGACATTTAGTCCACTTAGAACAACAGCTAACTTCCAGTCATTAGTGCCGTATTCTTTTTGTGGCAGATTTCCACAATCTTCACAGGATCCCTGACAACAAAGACGATGCAAAAGGTCTTTTCAGGCACACATGCAGTCGGGTGGGGGGAATTAAATTTTTAGTAAACAAGAGCAAAATGCCAACAGGAGCAACAATGAAGCAGTCCTGGCAAGGCAATAAGTTGTGCAAAATCACAAGCAGAAAGGGTGAATGCCGAGGAGAAAAAAAAAGCAGGATAGGCAGAGACAAAAGACTCTTGTTATTAGTGCAATGGAAAGGTACGATAAACCTCTGGAAAAAGGCCATCTCCCCAGTCACTGTCATTTGCTACAGGTTTCCTGGCTTTATGCAGTCGTGTGACCAACTCTGCAGCTCAACTCAGTTTTGGACTGGAAGGCGTCTCTTGCTGTGTCTAGGGCGGATGGGATTACCCGCGGGGGTTCCCGGGCAGATCCCGAACAAGTGTGAAAAGCCTATCAGAGACCTGTGAAAACTGTAGGCTGCATGTCTCCACACGGAGAAAGTGCTGCTGTCCACTCTCTTCTCTTTCTCTTTTTGACCTTTCCACTCTCCTTCCTTTCTCTCTCACTTCCTCTCTCATTATGCTCTCCCATCTTTCACCTTCCCCTTCCTGACTCTAAAATCTGCTCCTGTGCACACCTTAACCAGTCCAATAAAGGTTGTAGGTTCAGATTAATCAAAGTATGTCTGCGTGACATGTTTTCACATGAAAGAAGGAAACATTTCCTGGCTTTCTAACACTGATGCTGGCAACTTCCTTTTTTATATGAACAAAAATGCACACACACTCAGTCACACAGTACTTTTTTTTTCTCTTAGGAAGCAGGGCTTTTAAACAATAATGTGTTTAAAGCCCTGTCAAGGTCACTCTGGGTTCTGATTATTCTACTGTGAAAACAGGACTGTAGGTAGTTCTTATCTACACATATAAACCTGACATTTTTAGTGCAGAGAACCAGTTTGAATAATTCACACCACAGCAGGAATAACTGTCTCTCATATCTTACGCTTAGCAATACTTAAAGACAGCATCTTAGAATGTGTATTTCGTAAATACCACATAGTATCTCCGGTCTGCATCCATCCACCTCTGGCACAAACTGCTGTACCCATGTGGCAATGCAAATTAGAAGTAATGCACCAAAACCGCTGGATTCAGAGGACCACTTGCTGCCACCTGGTGCTCGTTGTTTGTTCATTCTCGTTCTCTTCTGTAATAATGCATAGCCAACTTGTTTGAGTAAAGGTCACATTTATTTTTTTCGGGGAAGGGGGGCATCCCTTACTTAAATGTGTGACAAGATGCACGAAAAGAGCAGAAAGAGAGATATTCACATATTCAAGAATGACAGCTCTTGAAACACTAAAGATGTTCACTTTGCAGTAATATTACAGTTTGAATGAATTCAAGAGACATTGAAGACAAAACACAACATTTATTTCTCTATTAGAGGTTTGTTTGTGTGTGTATCTGTGTGTTTGTGAACTTGAGGTCCATGACAGGATGTCCCAAACGGGCCTTCTCTCTCTCCTTAAGTGCTTCCTCCCTGGAACATGTGGGATTTTTAAGTGGAGACTCTGGGCGAAGGGTGTGTTCACTTCTTCTCTTGCTTGTCATTGTACTCCAGGAAGAAGTCGTTACAGGCCACAGTGAGAGCTCCAACCAAAATGATGAACTCTGTAAAATCTACCTCTCCATCATTGTTGGAATCCAGGTCTCCCATAATCTTCTCCACAGCTTCCTTATCCTGGGCATTCTGCACGTATCAAGATACAAAAAAAAGCAATGTCTTTTCTGTACACATAATCTACATTTGCATCTTCTCTTCCTAAGTATGAACATGTGCTTTCTTACCCCCAGATAGCTGCCAAGCTCTTTGGTAAGCATTTCTTTGAGCTCAACCTTGCTCAGTGTATATTTGTCCCCGTCATTTCCAGAGTACTTATGGAAGGTCTGGATCATGAGCTGCATGGCATTCTCCAGGGTGGAAGCATTCTCAGAGTTAGGCAAAGACATTCTGTAGAGGAACAGAAGGGTGGGTTGAAGATACAGTAAGAACAGTTCATGTCAGTACATGTGCTCTGTCAAGCATTGGGGGAAGCATGGAAGTCTAATGCAGAAAAAAATCAGGTGAGAAAAACCTGTCTGTCGTTCTGTTTTGCACTTAAATGTGTTTGCAAATATGCATTCAAGTAAGATGAGTTTTGCACACAGTATTTGGGCAGAAACCTTATCTAGCTTAACAGTTTCTTCATCGTGTCCTGGCCCTGATAAGATTTTGCCACAGATAAAAGGATCCTGCTCTGCCAAGGTTTTTGAACCTCCGGGAGTCCGGACATAGTCAGCAGCAACCGGACATGTGAGCCAGCTGATAAGAGTGAAACTCTAAGCTGGTTAAAAAGCCCATCCACTGGAGAAGATGTATCGGGGACACACAGTGGCAACCTGATCTGGCTTTTACTTTAGCTTTACCGGATAGCAAAAAAAACACCACAAACAGGTGTAGGTCCTACCTTTGTTGAACCTGTATCACCTGTGAACTGTGAAGACTTTTCCTAATTGTCAATCACAGCTTATAGTAGTTTTCACATAGATTTTATTTCCCAAAACAAATCAGCAGGATGTAAAAATGACTAAAAATGCATTTTTGGCATGCTATGTCTTTCCGATGTCTAGTTAACCAGTGAAATTGTTTTTTATAACTTATCAGTGAATCAACTGAAAGTTCTCCCTGTCCTTAGTGCTCTACACGAAGGTACTCGACAAGTGATGAACTAACAGACATGCTCTAGCTGCATCAGCACCAGTATGCAATCATAATTGGGAAAAAAGACAACAGAGAAATGTGGAGACAGTTGAAATCTGTCCCTCTGTTTCTTACCTGAGTGGAGGATTAGTGCTGGCCTGCTGCTCAGGTGCAAAGAGAGGAGGTAAAAGCAACTGTTAAGGAGGATGAGGACTACACCGTCTTAAATACATCCCTTACTCCACCCATCCCACTTACCCCTTCCTCCTCCTTCTCTACCCCCTCCACCTGTTGCCCCTCTCCTCTCTACCTTCTCTGTTTACGCCAGAGACACCTGCTATCCGCTAATTGGACATACACAAGAGCCGGTTGCAGCTACAGAAAGACTTAAGGTAAATTGAGGTATTCACAATAAGTCTACAAGCCAAACCTGCCCTAATGTGCTCAAATGTGTTGAAATAAGAAAACTCACTAAAAAGAGAAGAAGTGCTGGAGAAAAGATCTATTTGTTTCCAAATATTCATACGTTGTCTAAACTCACTCGACCAACTGCGCGCTCCAAGCACAATGGGCTGTTGTGCAGTGACAGTGACATATTGCTTACCGTGTCACAGGTTGCTATTGAAATAGTGGATTACCCTGCTCCTCTGTTGTGCAACCGCTTTGTACTTCATGTCAAAACAAAGGAAAGGCTTGCAGGAAGTGCTTAAAATACTGCTATACCAAGGCAAAGATTAATAACTCAATAGCTTATCCAAAAGCACCTGGTTTCAAGCAGCAAAAACATTGTTAGGTTAATTGTAGGGGTAGGATGTTCACTGGAGGAGGGGGGTGCGGCGGAGGCTCATGCTTGTTATATTATCCGAAGGATCAGAGTAGCACCGATGAATGGAGCCATCGCACCTGGCAGTCATGCAGAGAAATCCCCACACAAAGGAGAACATGACAATGCGAGGACACACACACACACGAGCACTTTCACAAGCTTGTTCACACCTTTGGCTTCAAAATACACCATACATGCAAAAAAAAAAAGCACAAATAAAGACATATTTGAACAGGAACAGAAAAAATTCTTGAAATAGTTCAAGACACACCTTTAAAGCTGCACACCACCCTTACACAAACCACGTGAAGAAAACCGAGAAGCAAGAACAGAGAACTGGAACAGAAACATACTTTAAATAGTTCGTGTGAGGCATCCACCGGACTTGGAGACATCTGGATAATGGTGAGAGCGAGAGCCAAAGACCATGAAAGTAATTGCGTTTCTGAATGAATGATAGACAGGCTTGTGCTTAAAATTAAACATTAAAGCTTTTCATATGAAGAGATCATGTTTTAAAGTGCAGTGATGGTAAAGCATCTTCTCATTAATGAGTCTTTGGAGCATCATACTGTGCCAGTAAGGGGGGTAGCACGGAGTGTGTGTGCACATTCGTATACACCGAATGTATAGAGTTGCTGAGTGAAGGGTGGTGCACAATAGAAAGTGTAGACTGTATATCAGGATCAGGTTGCAATAAGTGATACATCTAAAGGGTGCTGAGTTTGACTAGTCAGGGATGTCGCAGCTATATTTAGCAAGTGCTGCTGGAAAGGAGCGGGCATGATTCAATTAGTGTCAAATCATGACAGAGAAACTACTGCACTTATAAAGTACTTCCGCACATGTAGAAAGAAAGGAAATGTATATGAGAAAGGGAGGTTCAAAGGTGAAATCTTAAAAGACTGACAAATGTGCAACAGCAGCAACCACAGACCAAAAAAAAACAATTTAATTTTAATATAAAGCTTTTATTTTGAAAACATTGGTATAAAATGTAGGATTGGTATAAAAAAGACCAGCTCAGAATCCTTCAGTGACAGTGTTACTACATAAAGGTTCATTTGGACAGACATTAAGATCTAGTATAGCCGGTTAACTATCTCAGAGAAAATCATTATGATCTGATGTATACATGGTGGCTGGAATGTTTGGAAATGAAAAAAAAAGACATTTAATAAGCTCAAAAAGAAAAAAACATGGCTGAATGCAGATCCTCTCCAAATACTGCAACTTCAAGAGCATCTACGATGAATCTGGATTGCTTTCAGTCTTGCGCTGACTCATGGAGTTAGCCAAGTAACCTATCAGGGTAAGGTATTCCTCGAAGCTGACCTTTCCATCGCTGTTTTCATCCAGTCCCCTCTGCATCTCCTTAACAGCAGAGGAGTTGCTTGCATCCTGAGTTTAAAAACAATAAAACAAATATTAAAGAGATTAGAGATTACAACTGCTTTTAAATTCATGTTCTAATATACTGGCAGCATGACGGACAACCACAAAACACTTACTTCCATGACACCACTGAGGTTTTTCTCCACCAGTTTCTGGAAAGATTTGCTGTCTAGGTTCTCCTTCCCCCTGGAAGATTTAACAAACGTGGTCACCAACGTCTTAATAGCGGACTCCATATCTGTATAAGAGAGTGAGACAAGGACAAAGCAGAAAAGAGAATTTAGGACAGATAAGGACATATCTTAGAAGACTCTCAGACTCTCAAACACTGTGCCATGAGATACTTTTCCTGTGAACTTTAATAATATCATAATGCAAAAAACTAAATAGAGCATTGAGTGGATGAGACGCTTATTTCATATTGAGCATTTCATGCTTTGTTTGGTTCTGATTGTGAAAAAGAGTAATGTCAGCTGTGAGTTTGTGGAAGGCTTGTGCACAACTATGTGACCTTTAACTCCATACAACCAAATTATAAAGCATATTATGATGTATTTAAATTGACAAACATGTCATTTATAATACCTGATGATTTTAAAAAGGCAAAACCCAGACAGAAAAAAAATCCCCCTAAGACCCTCTTGTCCTCTGTGGGAAGAACAGAAGTGAAGAGGAAATCCTGGGATTTCTTCTGACGCCACATTTGCAATAGTTTGACAAACAGATAACATGTGCTTTCTTTTCAAAATGGTGCAGCTTCCACGTTTTCTAGGGACAAGGGAACTTAAGTGATCATTCATTTATTCATATATTTTTTGCAGATAATATGATAATATTGCTAAAAATCGAATTGTTTCTTCAATGTCAGATTCTTAACTTCACATCAGTGGGATTGCAGAAATGTACAGTATTTTCTAACCCCCTAAAAACAAACCTTTTACTCAGTGTCCTTTGCAGTGGGCAGCAAGACTTACTAACTCCCATTTTTAACCATTTGTCCCATTCAGAAACCAGAGGACCAAGTGAGGCAGGAAGGACTTTACTCATACTTGTAGAAGCGAAGTCAGACTTACAGATGTCAGCGGACGAGGTGGACAAGGTTGAGAAGTTAGGGTGGGAAGGCGAGAGCTCAGAGGACATACCAGCTTCTGAGGAGCCTGAGCTGGGATTAAGTGACCCATGGTCATGACAAGCAATGTGTAATGTGGAAATTTAACAATTTATTCATTTAACAAGCAGGGGCCTCAGTAGCATACGGAAGAACCATACACAGCCACGACAGCCTGGCACCTCCTCCTCATGCTGCTCACAAACTTGGTCCAGCTTGGTCTGGGATGGCATCTCATTCTTCAACCAGCAATTGTCACAAGTCAGCCAGTGTGGTTGTGTTGGACGCTATGGCCCAAACAGCGCGCACAAGCTGATCCCACAAGTGTTTAACGGTGTTGAGGTCAGGGCTGCAGGCAGGTTCTTCCATCCTCTCCACACCCAAATTCTTCAGATAGTCGCTGATAAACCCTGCTCTGTGGGAGCGAGTGTTGTCACGTTCGAGCACAGAGGTCAGTTGCTAAACCTCATCTTGATATCTTTGTATTGCGAGTGCCTCCAACGACGACAATCCATGTTTATCCAGTGAGGGAGATGCTGCCTCACAAAATCACACCTCCTCTACCCTATTGGTGCAGCAATCAGAATGGTTGCTGCACCAGTGATGAAGGATGGTCATATCAGCCTTCCTGGCAGTTCTATGAGACCAGCGACTGGCTGTGTGCTGTCTTTTCTGGATTGTCTGGGTAGAGACCCCTCGGCCATACCGTCCTGCAAACCTTGACTGCAAATCTGTTAAAGGCTGCCTCTGGTTCCTAAGTGCTAATAGGGTGAGGAAATGATCTTCTTATGTAGTAGCCTTCTTGGGACGTCTATTTCGTGGCCTGACTCTGATATAACCTGTTAGATGGAGCTTGGCCTTCAGTTTGGAGATGGCACTGAAGAACAATCCAAATGATACTGCAAATTGGTTTTGTGCAACACCCACTTGAAGTTGTCCTATAGAACAAGCCTAATTCAGATCAGTCAAACATGGCGTGCTTGGAGTAGACACCAGTTGACCGCTGTAGCAAGGCCTGCTAATCACAGACAGTTAGACACTTGATAGCCAGAACTGGAGTACCAAAAGTTCAAAACAAGAGTCAGTAGCAGAACAAGCTATTTGGCATTAGCAGAGAAGATTTGGCAACTTTTTCATGGGCGCAACCCATGTGGTACTATTTAGGGGGAAATGAACAGACTTTAATGGTATAAGATTTCCCAAGAAGCATTGTTACAACAAATAAATAACAGACCAATCCATGACTTGGATCCGGATACACCTAGTCCTTATTATAGCTAATTTAATAAGTTGAGACATATTCTTCAAGACTGGGCAGTCCATTGAAGTAACAAATGAGATTATTCTTTTTCAACATCAGAGGAGAAAATTATGTGAGATTTCTGTTAAACAGCGTGCAGGAAGGCTGCCTCAATCTGCTGAGACCAGTGAAGGTCTGTGCACTGTAGATGAGCTGATGTTTCCTTTCCCACAACTTCAGAGCCCCGCCTTGTTGTCATCTTGCTTGAGCTCAGGCTCCTTAAAAGCCTGAATGTCGTCCTCTGAGCGTTTGCCTTGCTTTTTTAATCAAAAAGTTCAACGATGTGAGGGTTTTTTTTAGTTTTTTTTTTAAAAACAATGTTTATGTGTTCAGTCGTAACTGTTTTAATGTTAAATAAAAAGAAATTTTTTAGCAGAAATGAAACCAATATCATTTCATCACATCATTCTGTCATCACGCAAGACTCCATGTTCATGACAAGGGGCAAACAATTAAACAAAGAAAAACAAAAAATTTAATGAATAACAATTTTTTTTCTTCTTTCAACTACAACACTTAAAATACCTTTTAAAAAATCCTTGTTTGATATTTAGAGTTTTAGAAAATTATTGTTCAAGTG